ACGATTAAAAGGTCTACAAAATGCTGAGACAATGCTGCATGCAAACACAGAGACCAATTCCACTCCATTATCTACTTTCCAACCCAATGTAATGACAATACTACTGCCACCGCTGTTTTGTTACCATCTCAAAGTGTAGAAAATGTATTCTATACTGAAGACAATTCTGAATATGTATATTTAGATTCAGGTCCTGATGACCAAGAAAAGTTTTTGTTTAGTGACACTTCCGATGAAAATTGTGGTTCAAAGTCATTGGTTAATTCAGACGGATTTGGAAGAATATGAAGAAGAGCGAGATAGTGTTTCTTCCATAACATTTTTTTTGCGTACGTGGGCATTAGACGAAAATATTACCCATAAGGCATTGTGCTGTCACGTACAAAACCACAGGAACTCTTGAGTTCTCACTCTTCTGGCGATGACAATGTTTTGTTGCCGGCTGCATACAGGGAGAAATGGGTAGGTTCAATTTGGTTTATATGGGCGCCAGAAGCGGGAATAACAACGAAAGTTGTAGATACTGCTCTTGCTTCAGGGAGCAGGATGTATATAGTTATCTCGAAGGAGGCGATACTCAAGCACACACACACACAGAAAGAAAGAAATTACATGGAGGCGAAAATACGGTATATTTAAATATCAGTTCAATAACCAAATGGGCAAATTAGCTTCAACTTACTCACAACAAATAAACAAGGCAATGAACAAAAATTTTAACATTCACAAGATCCACTTACTCGCTTGATTTAAGTTTAGGGCGAGTTATATGACCTCAAATTTACTAGGACCTGGGTTATTAGATAGCGCTACCAATATAACAACTTGACCACGGTACCTCACCTGGGGTATACTACTGATTAATATTTGTCTTGTGAAATGCTTTATAAACGCAATATAATTAATTTGTCACTAAGCACCAAATAGTGTAACTAATATGTAAGTAATTGAATGCAACCAAAAATTTAAATGAAATATAACCTTAAATGAGGCCATTATATGCAAAACTCGCTAATCGACAAAATCCTAGAAAAGTATATTTTTGGGTAGGTTTATACAGTTTTTAAAGAGGAATCGAATGGTGAAATCAGAAATGTTCAAAACTCTTTCCTTAGCATGCAAATATCGTTGAGAAAATTCAAGTTATACGCAGAACTCGCTCTTTGCTTGGACGTGTTACTTGCAAAACTCGCTGTTTGCTCTGCCACCAATTAAATTTGCCGGTTGATTCACGTGACGAGCACGCTAATAAACATTGTTAAATGTTTACAAGACAATAATATTTCAGTTTTCCATCGTTTTCGAGCTGCGTAGGTGTTTTACTAAATTATGGAGTTACTAAGAGATGGTATTTTGTCTGTTAAACCTAGTCCACAGGGAAAAGGTCGCAAAAAACTACTCCAGCCAGAAAAGCATAAGAGGAATGTCAATAAACTTGCTAGGTAAGTGCCTTAATTTTAAACTGATGATTTTAATTACATTAATAAAATTGTTACAGACATACACCAAAATCACTTCCGACCTTTCCAACTTGTGGTCACAATGGACAACCCAATTTGCCGTATTATTGTTCCACACTCACGATGAAGCAAATTAAAGATTTTCATGCCTACATTTATCGATCAAAAGAAAAAGTTGAACAAGATCTTTTGATATTGTTTTGTTGTAAAGGACAAAAACCAAAAAGAGGAAAATCTGATCATGCTACAGTGTCGATAAAATACCATGTACGCTTGAATGAGGGGAAGCTGGTTAGAGTATGTGCCAAAGCATTTCTTGGAATCACAAAATTGAGCAAAGATCGAATACAAAGAAATGTTAGAAATTTCGTACTCAAAGGGGAGATACCCAGGGAACGTAGAGGTGGCGATAGAGTTGGTCCGAAAAACGACGAAAAAAGAAACTGCATTAAACAATTTATAGAATCCATTAGATGTACCGAGTCTCATTATTGCAGAAGCAAGACAAGCGTGAGGGTCTACTTGCCATGTGATTTGAATTTTAAAAAACTTTTCGAATGTTATCTGCGGAGAGTGCCTTAGCCTATGCATGTGAAGCTTAGTTATTTTCGAAAATACGTGAACGCTTACTACAACAGCGCTTTTGGAACTCCACTGACTGACTGCTGCTCAACCTGCTTGAGAACAAAGGAGCAGTTGAAAATAGCAACTTCTTTAGATGTTCGGCAAAAGTTACTTACTGAGCATCGTGTTCACATCGCAAAAGCTAAGGCTTTTTTCGGACTTCTTAAAACAAAGCTAAACACATCCTACTTTTCCTTCGACTGCCAAAAAAACTTGGCCCTGCCTAGACTGCCAAATCAAGCAGCATATTTTAGCCAGCAAATTAACTATAATAACTTTACAGTTGTCGCTGGTACTTCTAGAGATAAACTAACACCAAGAAATGTGTTTTCTTACTTGTGGACAGAAATTGATTCCCGAAAAGATTCTAATACAATAGCATCAGCTTTGAATCATACCTTGAAGAGTTTTGATTTTGACCCCAGCATTGAAACAGTACGTTTGTTCGCTGACGGTTGCGGTGGACAAAACAAAAATACGAATATGATGGCTATGTTAGCTTACTGGCTCCTAGAAGAATCGCCGAAACATATTAGGCAAATTGAATTGATTTTCCCAATCGTTGGTCATTCCTTTATTCCACCTGATCGCGTCTTCGGCCTTATAGAGAAAGACATTAAAAAAATTTCAGTTATTGTGGAAGTTAGTGGGTACGATGATTTAATCAGGAAACATTCCACCATACGGAAGATCGGTATCGACTGGGATCTGTTTGATTGGAGAACACAGACAAAACGAGCTATCAAGCTGCCTAGTTCATGGCACTTTGAATTTAATAAAGCAAAAAGGTTTATTTTTTACAAAAAAGAGAAAAATGTTCTAATCCAAGGTGAACCTAATTACTGCACTGACGTTGGAAAAGCTAGTAGCGTTTGTAAAAAAAATTTCTCTCTGTCATCAATGGCTCCTAAGAAATTAACACTGGGAAAAGGACTAAGGGGGGGGATAAAGGCACTATTAACAACCTTCTTTCCAAACACTACGGAGAAAATTGGAGAAGTCTTCCTGAACTACACTTTTACAAAGAGCTCTTCGAAAAAGGTAATGCCCCACCAGAAGAAAACGTTGATGCGGACCGTTGCCAAAATGTCGAGAATGATTCCTTTTTTTTGTGAGCATTAAGTATTTTGAGTTATTTTTTTGTTTAAAAATGCAAAACTGTTACTTGTACGAATAACTCCTTCAAGTTTCTCATTAATCTAAAGATAGTTTTAATTTATCTTAGATATTTATTTTCAAAACTGGTTATTTGCAATAAACATTATTATTTTCTATTTAAACTGTAAATATTTTAGGCTGAAAACTTTTAATTTCCTTTCCTAAAAACTCTATGCAACATAAATAAGAAAAGTTACTTTGCGCGAAAAACACTTATAATCGACACATATACTTGAAATCACGAATCTTTGTCCCTGCGTCATTGATTTGTGAATCAATTTCAGACATACGCTAAAACACTGTAATATCTGTCAAGTATGCGAAATCGATAAAAAACTTGTCTGAAATTGATTCACAAATCAATGACGCGGGGACAAAGATTCGTGATTTCAAGTATACATTTTTTTCGAGCAAATAGCAAGTTTTGCATATAATGGCCTCAAATTATACATAACCTCAAAATGACAAGTATTTATCTTGTTTATCATAAGTATAAAAAACTTCGTTAAACACAAAAAAAAAACAACACAGTGAAAGTGAGGGAAGAAAAAGAATGAAGGAACAAGAGGAGATAGGTAAGATAGGATAGAGGCTCGACAAATGAATTCCCTTCCTTTATTTTATTTGACCACCGTGACGATGTAACGGAGATGGCACAACAATTACAGCCTGACCTTTGCCGGAGAGTGTAGCTTGCCAATTAAGGTGACCGGAGTGGATGGTGTGACTAACGGCTGACAATCGATGTGGCTTTGGTGATGCGAACCAGAACACAACGCATGCAAGACGTAGGTATAGATGGTTCCGGGAGATATCGGTAAGTATCACGATAGGCAAGGATGTCTGGTTCTGATTATTGTAGATGATGGAATCCAACGTTGGGTGATGAAACCTCCAAGGAAACTTGAAGACGACGAACGAAATAAAGTAGACGTAAAAAAAAAGCTAAAAGAAACATCGATAATGTGTAGACAATTACAGCTAACAGAGTCGTACCTCTTGAGATGACGAGCGAGCTTATGGTGAATGTGACGGAAGATCCGCAATATATGCGCGAGAATTAACCACCAAAATATCAAACGGCACGTACTTAATCTTCTCTGACAACCAATTCTCTACAAATCCTTCCTTAGAAGCTCAATATAATTGTAATTAAAGACTTGGTGAAATCACATGTACTTCATACAAGATGTCTACAGGAAAAGTGAAAGTTGATAAGAGTATACGGGAAAAGGAAATTGTTATCAGCTACAGGTAATAACAATAAAGAGATGAGAAAGTTACTAAATTTGAATTCGAAATGTAGGGAAAGAAGAGTAGAAAATGAAATAAAGTATTTCGAAGACTTAATAGGCCTTAAGGGTAAGAAAATAAACCGTTACAGTGCAAGTTTAAAGGCTATTGTTCCGGAGTTACAATCACTACCAGTACAGGCTCTAACAATACTTAAAATGTAATTTTAAATCAGTTGATCCGGGACAATATCATCACATTTAATTAAATTTTGCATTAACACTTTTAACTTCTAATGTAAATTGTCTTGAACTGTTATTCAATGTTGATGGCTTACCACGTTTTAAAAGCAGTTCTTCAGAACTATGGCCTATTTTAATGTCATTTCCTTGTAAACCGCAACTACGCCACAAGGTTTTTCCAATTGGGCTTTATTTCGGAAGTGCTAAACCATACAATGGGCCAAACTTTCTGGAAGAATCAGTAGATGAATTAAAAAATCCTTTAAAAAATGGTTATGAATTCAATAACCGCAAAATAAACATTATAGTGTTAGGATTTTGTTGTGATGTGTCTGCAAGAAGTTTTATATTAGGAACCATCTCTCATACTGGATTTTATTCTTGATGTACAGTGAAAGGTAAGATAATAGGCCGTTTTTATGGATTTAGATTGTGTATTAAGGACTAGTGAAGGTTTTTGGCGAAAGAAGAGATTCCTACTATCGTCCACAAACTCGAGAGACTCCTTTTAGATGATTATGGCACACCGGAACCGGAGACTAGTTTGAATAGCACCAGTCAAAGTAATGGGTCACCGCAAGTCCATTGAAAACGGGTGCACGTTCTGTCTGAAATTCCGTCAACCTCTGTCCAAATACCTTCACCTCCGCCTGGCTTTGTCAATCACACAATTGCCCTACAACAAACATTGACCGAAGTGGCATTAAATGTGATGTCTTCAAATTTCTTGGAAAATGGAAAATTTGTCCGATAAATAATCTGGCACATTAGGGCGTTATGCGCGGGTACACCATCCTGTTGGAACCAACAGTTTCACAACTTTTGTTTTTTTATGTACCGTAAAAAGGGGTGACTTGAAAACGCAGGGCGAAATGAAAATTTCTGTCAGGAAAAGTTTGAAAACTTGCTACGACTTCACAAATTATTAATGTTGCCTACATTACCGACTATATAACGGCTGTGATCATAGAATAGTGAAATTGTTATCTTAGTATTGGCGGTAAATCAACGACAAGGTAAGAAACGTTACATTTTTATTAGGTGAATACTTTTATCTGCACAGATCGAATAAACAACGGTATGGCCTAGTGATATTTTTTGCGTATTAACATGATCATTATTCATTAGTACTTTAACCTCACAAATGTTTGAAACTTTACCGGCAAGCAGTGGCGTTGGGTTTCATTATTCGATGTCATTTCAGGGGCGACTTGAAAACTATGCGCACGTATAAAAGAAAACCCTGTTCGAGGAAATACAAGGATTACGATGAGGAAACCTTAGAAAAGGCTCTTGAAAGTTACGTTTCGGGTCAAAATACGCTCAAAGAAGCAGGTGAACAATATGGTATGCCATATGTCACCATATATCGTAAGTTTAAAGGTCTCCATAGCAAACCGCATGGTGGCCAAACAGCGCTGACACCTAACGAAGAAAAGGCTATTGTGAAGGGTGTATCAGTGGCAGCGGAATGGGGGTTTCCCTTTGAACGTGGTGAGACTTTTGAAATGGTAAAATCATACCTTGACCAAAAGGGTTCCAAAATTCGCAATTTTTCTAACAATACACCTGGCGAGGGTTGGTTTCATGGATTCATGAAAAGACATGGTGACACGATAACGTAAAGAACTTCACAAGCCATTAAAGAAAGCAGGGCTAAAATCAATAGTCTTCTTTGATCATTTATAAATAACTATAAAAGATGTGGTGCCAGAGGCGTTTATCAATTATGACTAAACAAATTTCACAGACGACCCTGGGAGAACAAAAGTAGTGGCCAGACGTAAGTCAAAAAGGGCCGAGAAAATAATGGATTCCTCGAAGGCTGCGACGTCGGTGACGTTTGCTTGTTCTGCTTCAGGAGAAATGCTCCCACCTTACATAGTATACAAATCCGAAAACTTGTGGTACACGTGGCGCGAAGGAGGTCCAGATAGTGCAGTCTACAATCGCACTCACTCGGGTTGGTTTGACGCCAGCCTTTTTGAAGACTGGTTTAATAAAATCATGCTACCATATTTTAAAAAAATTGGGCCTGGACCAAAAGTCCTCCTTGGTGACAATTTAGCTAGTCACATTTCATACAACGTAGTGAAGGTCTGCCAAGATAATAATATTCGTTTTGTGCTACTCCCTCCCAACAGTACGCACCTTACTCAACCATTAGACGTGACTTGCTTCCGTCCAATCAAAAATTCATGGCGCAAAATTCTCCAAAAATGGAAAAAAAATCACAAGGGTGTGATACGAAAAGACCATTTTCCACGACTTTTGAGGCAAGCGTTAAATGAAATAAAAGATAATGGACGGAATAACATAATATTTGGTTTTGCAGCAACAGGTCTACACCCATTACAACGTCTAAAAGTGTTAAATAGATTGCCAAATGAAGATGAAGTGGATAATCCTGAAGTAGACGCTACAATGACGAGATCCCTCACACGAGATTTATGGAGAAAAGGCTCTTCCGGGTAAAAGAAGAAAATTAAATGTACCACCCGGCGCAAGTGTAACAGGCAGATTTCGATAGTACCACTCCACCTGGCGAATTGTCAAAATCTCCTGGACCTGATGTCCCCCAAAATGAATCGAGTGGCGTTTCTGATGATGTCATTTCAGAAGAGGAAGTTGTGGAAGGTGAAGCCATTAATGCTTCTATAGACTTTGAAAATTTAAATTCTGATGACTTCATTCTTTCATGTGTGAATTTTTATTTATGATTTTAAGAATCATTTTTAGCGCATTTCCACAACAATAAAAAAAAAATGCGCTATTGTGGCCACTTTGTCCGTCCGTCCGCTCGTATTGCGACGCTACTAGTTCTTTATCTTAAGAGCTATTGTTCTACTTTTTTCGCTATTTGGTTCGTTATGGCGTCGAGTCTTGTACCAAGGAAGGAATTTTTTCTGTACCGCTTACAAAAAAAGTTATTGTAAAAAAAACAAAAAACCGTTTTTACATGTTCCATAATTTTACACTTTTGCCGTTTATTAACGATCCTAGAGATCGTTTATAATTTTGCATTGCTTTCTGTCGCCTGCCGGTTGGTCTCTCCGTCTGTTCCTTTGTCTGTCTGTCCATCTATCTGTCCGTGTGAACGATAACTTTGTTTAGAAATGTTCGATCTCTTTTACATCTCCGTTAGTTATGAACTGAATTGCATGAAATTCAATATGGGCATAGCTTTAGCCATATAATACGCAATGCCAAAAGTTGAATCGAATCGATTCAAAACTCACAGTGTCCTTTTCGCATCTCGACCATTTATAAACCGAATTGCAAAATTTTTTACCTATAAAAGCATTTGAATGAAATTTGATACATAGGCACTTGGAATAAAGGAAAATCAACTGCCAATTTCAAAATTTGGTTTTGCGCATGCGCAGTGCCAACTGTTTTATTTATGGAAGAATTTAAATGAAATTTGTTACATAGGCACTTGGAATAAAGGAAAATCTAGCGCCAGTTTCAAAATTTTATTTTGCGCATGCGCAGTGCCAACTTTTTTATCTATGGAAGCATTTAAGTGAAATTTGATATTTAGGCGCTTGGAACAAAGGAAAATCTAACATTAGTTTCAAAATTTAGGTTTGCGCATGCGCAGTTCCATTTAGAAAAGCATTGAAATGAAATTCTTCTCATAAACTGACATTGAAGTAGCACTAGGGCTGGGCGATTACGGGTTTGAATAATCGATAATCGATTATGAAAAATAATCGATTACACTGATTAATCGATTAATCAAATAATCGTTTAATCAAATAATCGATTAATCAAATAATCGATTAATCACCTAATCGTTTAATCAAAAGTCGATTGTCACATACAAGGAGTGATAAATATCTGTTTGTATGCATTAATATGTTAATTATTTAATAATAAAAATAAAAAATAATTCCATTACTCTTTTCATCAAATCGTTCATTACTAGGCAGATCGATTAATCAATAATCAACAAAGTGTCCCTGGTTCGAATCCGGGTTCGGGCATGGATATTTGCAAATGCATAGTGGGTTGGTTGGTACCCTGCCCATTTGAAAATGAAGGTCAAAAATAAAAATAAATAAATAAAAATAAATGATTAGTCAGCTTACTCTCCGATGAGGTGTGCTTTAGTTTTGATGATACAATTTTAATTCATTTTAGCTGCTTAAAGTGACGTTTTAACATCCGCTATAAAATAAAATAATACTTGTGAGCTGTGAGTGCTCCTTTTTGCGTAAACTGATGATCCAGCTAATAATAATCAATTAAAATTTACTTAATAATTGATTAATCAAATAATTGATTAATCAAATAATCGATTAATCAAATAATCGATTAATTTAATAGAATAATCAAACCCGATTATCGATTATCGTTTGATTATAATCGATTAATCGATTTTTTTGCCCAACGTTAAGTAGCACGACAAAAATGGATTGCCCATGTGCAGCGCTATCTTTCATATTTGTGGCCGGATTTTTACGATTTTATAGAAGTTGCATCTTACAAATGGGAAATGAATGCAAGTGGAAATGCGCTTTATGTAAATCGTTTACGATTACTTTTTAACTTGTTGTTTTTTTTTGTGCAATAAGTTGAAGTAGGTAAATAAGGCCTGATTTTATAGTTGTCGAAGAATTATGTTTCTGTTTGTTGTTAAATAAATTTTTTCTTTTCTATCTACCTTATTAAATGTGGGAAATTGATAAATTTCTATTTTTTTTTTAAATTTGGTTTTCAAGTAGCCCCCAGAGATGATATACTTTAAAAAAACATTTGAAATCCAACGTTTGTTTTTCAAGTAACCCCATCCTGGGGTGACTTGAAAATAGACATAAATAATTTTTTTTAGGATCAATTATTTCAACAACAAAGATATCAGCTGAACCATGAAGCCAAAACGATCAATTTGGCATATTTTTGGTAGGTCTAGCATTAAGAGCAACTTTTTTACAGGCCAAAGTATCTCAAATCGTTTTCAAGTCACCCCGTTTTACGGTACACAATACAGAGTGTGCTTTTTTAAAGTGCCATATAAAAAAACAAAGTTGATTTCTCAGAAACGAAAATCCTTCAACACTGTCTTGCAGAGTTCAAATACATAGTAGCAATGAGAAAGTGTTTATATTTTTGTATCTGTTCAAATAACATAAGAAATAAATAAAAACAAAATCTGCATGTCTGGTTTTCTTTACAGCATAATAATGGATTTTCATTAAATTCTGCAATCATATCCCACACCATTTGAAATGTGAAACTAACACTAAATTTAAGCATACTAAAACAACCATTTTATGATTTAGCTACGGGAAACGTATCCTGAAATGTCTATGTATGGATGCAGCTCTGAATCTACTAGCAACTGTTATTTCACCAAAAACAGTAATGAAACATATTATTGAAATACAAACTTATTGGAAAAATCGAGGGAAAAATCATCATCAAATGTATTGTTGGCTACGTGAGAAAAATGGGAAAATGCCCCAAATTCCAAATGATACTCGGTAGAATTCTCAGTTAGATTGTGTAAGAACTTATTTCACCTAAAGAAATTTAAAGTTTAATTTTAAGTGGGTAAGCAGTAGGTACAAATGTGTAAGAATGGGACGGAATAAAAACCATTAAAACCAATGAAAATTCGGAAAACCACATAACCACTTAACCCTTGGCTCGAAAAACCGGTCATTCATCATATTTAACTTTTCATTTGTCTAATTTCTGTGCTAGTAATGGCATAGAATTAGGTGCTCTATACCCAAATTCTCTCGCAAATTCTACTTCTGCAACCATTGGACGTTGCGGGGTCTAGACCCCTAAAGCTTGCCTACAAAAAATGAGGTGCAAACTTGGAAGATTGAAAATTCAACTAGAATTCAAAAACAGAATTTCGTGAAAATGTTTGAGAAAGCTTTATCTCATATTAGCCAAGAAACAATTAAGAATGTTTATGTCCGTTTGGAATGAGAAATGTTCAGTTCGAAAAAATTTCCAAGCACACTACTCCTGTTACACAATCAAAAAAACTCCAAATATCCCTTAGGAATCTACTGAAGCTTTTGAAGGAAAAATTGGCCCAAACAAGTTTAACTCAATTCAGAAAGTGTTTAACAGAAGAATCAAGCTGGAAAAGTGCACATGAAGATGTAAGGCCTTTATAAAATCTGGAAAAGCATCGCCAAAGAAAATACATCAACCACAGAAGAAACTACAAGACAAGAAGGTCAACATAGTGAACCGGAAGCGCGAGCAGAAGATATTAACGTGGCATTAGAATTGGAAGATGTAGACGACTGATTTGAAAGTAAACCCAAAGTTGGAAACTGGAAACTTGTTTATGTATTATACTCTTTGCATGACTGTGTATTTTATGTAAAACCAAACCCACAATTTCTTAAAATACCAATTTAATATTCTCAAAAATTTATTAACATTTCTTGTCGAAATCCAGGTTTAAATAGTATATAAAATCATTCCAACATTGGGGGGGTCCATTATTGGTTCATCACATATAAGGGGTGTTCATTATTTGTACATGCTCCCGAGAGTGTTTAGAATTATCTACTGGTACGTACTTTAAAAGGTGCATTTCAACGTTATATCCATTGTTTATTATAAACAAAAGATGATCGAATTAGAATCTGGCTTGCCATCATTTGTCATTGTTCTACTTCGAGAGAAATATGGGTGAACGTCCTTAAGCGACCCGTTATAGGTGCATTTACTTTACTAGGAGGCAGTTTAGGTCCAAAAATAGATTTAAGATTTATTTTATTTCCAAAATTAGACTTCTTTTCCAAATATTGTGAAGGCATTACAATCTATGTTCTATAAACATTTAACATACAAAATGCAAAAACATATTTCAGTAAAACAAATGGCTTAATGTACCCCACTTTCCCCTACACTATTTTGCTTGGTGGATGACCCCTCATTGATTAACGAATAACTTGCAATTCCGAAAAAGCAATGCAAAAGTAAAACAAGCACTTCCAAGTTCACACAATTCTTTTGAGGTTAGTGGAAATTAAAGAGAGCAAAGCTTAACACTAACATTAAATCAAAAATGCATCCATGTAAAACTTATGGTTCATCCAAGAAAAATACCACCTGGCCGAGTTTGGAACTTCGACCAAAAATTACAATTCGTTCAAGGTCTTGCCTTTTTCGATAGATGTCAATTAGTCTCGCTACCTTTAAGGCGAGGATAGACTAGCAAGTTTTCTTATGCAAGTTGCTGTCTGATAGCACTGTCGAGTGACAATGTCACTCGCCCAAAAGGTCTCGTATACGTTTCAACCAGACAGTTTTATTGTCGCAACTTACGGTGGTTTTTATACCTCAACAGTGCTGTCAGACAACAACTCGCGCAAGAGAACCAATTCTATCACGGCTTTTATGTTATTATTATAAGATAAGCGTGAAAACTTACATTTTAAGTTGCATCATTTGCATGGGCTTTCTTGTTAAGGTCAAGATCAGTCTGGATATTCACAACGCCCCGAGAATGGTTTGTTACTAGCGGATGGTACAGTGGAAGGACTACACAGCTCTCTTGCATTATTGTTTATTGTAAAATGCCCACCTGTAACACAGACAACAATAGTAAATTGGTAATGAAAACCTATCATAACCAAACTAAGTTTAATAACCCCACAAATGTTTTTCATTGCTCGCATCATTAAATTTACCTCAAATATTGGGCACATTATTTAAATACATTGTCGTTCTTGGCAAAATCAACATGTTCTACTTTTATCACGTGCAACACTGCAACAAAAAAGTTTTCCATTTCTTTTTACACCACGTGCGTAATTATGCATTTCAACGATTTCAAATCCAATGCTTACATTTCGTCGTTTCCTTGGGTCACCTTGATTGCACAATAAAACCTGTAAACTGCAGTACTTCATCAATCGTAAACGACAAAAATGTGCAACGGAATTAATGCAACTGCAGCACAATTAGGCAAAATCGTAAGCTTGCAAAAATCCGATTAAGACGCAGGCGGTTGCTTTGCTTTTGTTTGATACCTAATAAAGTTATGGCGTAGTATAACAGATACCAGTTCTTGTAGTTTATTCCGATGAACAAACTTTTTGTCAGCAAGCCGGCTATGTAATTGCGCACATTCGCAGATTTATAACGGAGAATTACAAATTCTATAATAAAATACACTCTTACCTAATAGTTTCGTTTTAAGGACAGCAGGAAATTAAAAATGGCCATAACATTCACACTAACCGACAAAAACTAAACAGAAACATCGCCTCGCCATTACCAACCACGCTTCGATTGCAGAATGCAGTTGAACTTGAAATGCAGCATGCAGCCGAAGGCGAAGACAAGCCGTTGTCGTCCCGCAATCCTCCAATCGGCCAATCACATAGCGCAAACCAGTGCTGCCACATATAATTTGTTCAGTTCGCCAACCTCTTAACATCAAAATTCTTCATCGAGCGGATACAGAGAGTAACTGCGGTTTGCAATAATGCATTCGCATTGTTCGGACGAACAGGGTCGGCTTAGGCGGCGGTTACTTGGATAAGATTCGACGAAATTTGTTCGTACGAATTCGTACGAATCAGTTCTTACGAATTTAGGAGGCGTGTGTGGTTACAATGAACGAGTTCAATTCAGTACGACTACAGTGTGAGTATGGAGTATATCTCAGAGCTACATTTATTTCAAACATCGCCATTAGTGAAATATTTTTTACTAAAAAATAATAGAAGAAAATGGGTGGATAAATATTTTTTATCCAGAAATAAAAAAGGAGAGTTTGGAAGGTCATTCGAAGAATTGAGAAGAAATGATGAAAAATTTTTCGAATACACGAGAATGACACAATCCACATTCGATTATATATTAGAGAATATTGAGAGTCACATTTCGAAGTACTCGAATTTTCGTGAGTGCATATCCGCAAAGCATAAACTGATATTAACATTAAGGCAAGTAAGAATTACGTTTTCAGAAACGTATATTTTTATTCACAAATTATACAAAATCATCTGGCTGAAAGGTGGTCAAATATCCAGCTGCAGAACCATCATTATAATTATTACCAAAAGCATCTGAATGGAAGTTAGACTCATTTGATTCTTGTGCAGGCGTCGCTGGCTGTGAACCTTCTGTTGAGGTGGTACTATATACCGGTGACGGATTTGGAATCGGAATAAATTGACGAGAAGTCGATTGACGATAACTTGCAGTGCAGGAAACGGCTCCAGGTTCCTGCATAACCAGACTGTAAGATTGGGATCTAGCAACAGCTTTCTATACACGTGCGGGGTTGAATGTATGGGACAAGACTAGTAGAAGTGTGTGTTCATCATCCTCCTTATGCCCCAATGCGTTTAAAATGTTGCAATTTTCTTTTTCAATATGCATCATCTTGAATGCTCATCTTTACCATTTTTGCTTTTTTGTGGAAAGAGTAGTTTGTGTTTGATTTTTCCTGAGTCGTTGCTGACCTTCTTCTGTCAGGGAGGGGTGGAGTAATGGCAGTTTCTCGTGGTCGAGTCCTTTCAGTCGTGGCATTGGAGGAAGATGGAGTAATGGCAGTTTCTCGTGGTCGAGTCCTTTCAGTCGTGGCATTGGAGGAAGATGGAGTAATGGCAGTTTCTCGTGGTCGAGTCCTTTCAGTCGTGGCATTGGAGGAAGATGGAGTAATGAAAGTTTCGCTTTCTTGGTTCATGTCAGTTTCAATGCCTACTTGGGACTGGTCGTTAATGCTCATTGGACTTAAAGTTGCATCTTCTTCCGTCTCATCATACGTGGAAGATTGTTGTACAGCATTTTCAATATTACCTGTTGTTTTTCTGGGTGTAAACTGATCTTTTATAAAGAGCATATTGATGAAATATTGCCACTTTGACTGTGATTCATCATCAGCACCATCTCCACTCCTTTTTTGACCAAGTTTAGAAATTTCCTTTCTAAATGTATCACGCAATCCTCGCCATTTTTGACGCACAGTATCCTCTGAAAAAAGCAATTCTGAATCATTTTGGCTATTCCAATAACACAAAAGAATATTATGAATATCATGTGGAAGTAGTGATTCTATTGGCAGCAGTAGTTTACCAATTGCGTGATTTTGTTTTAGGTATCTTGCAACTGGCGCTTCTTTCCGATCATTGGCATTTTCATTCCGAATGTCACATACAACTATTCGACAAGTGGTTTATGAAACCTGTGAGGCTATATGGAATACTTTATATCAAAAGCATATGCCCTTTCCAACGGAATCCATGTTTTCGTCCATTGCTGAACAGTTTTATAGAAAATTAGAATTAAATGTCCTGCGAAATCTGGGTCATTCTATTTCAATTATAAAAAATATTTTTCGATTGTGCTCCAAGGTTTGGTAGATGCGCAATACAAGTTTATATGTGTTGAAGTTGGAAGTTATGGAAAGCAGAGCGATGGTGGTATTTTCACTACGTCATCGCTGTACCACCATCTCGAACAAAATACATTTTGTGTACCTGGACCGAAGACAGTGCCGGGTACAAATATTATTGTTCCACATGTATTCGTAGGAGATGCAGCCTATCCATTAAAGCAGTATCTAATGAGACCTTTTTCTGGACACAATCTGTCGCAGGAGCAAGAAAATTTTAATTACTGCCTTTCCCGAGCAAGACGCCTTGTCGAATGCGCCTTTGGTATAATCACCTCAAAATGGAGAATTCTAAAAACGGAAATTGAACTTGCTCCTGACAAAGTCGATTTAATTGTAAAATGTATTTGCCTGTTGCATAATATAATTATTGATTTAGAGGGAAACCCACACATCATTAAAGATATTGTAAACCTCCAAAGAATATGCGATAGAAACGTTGGAACACGAAATTTTAACAGGGCTACTACTACTGCCTACGACATTAGAAACCAATTTATGCAATATTTCAATAATCATTGAAAATATTTAGGAATATGCGATACTTAGTTATTTTGTGTTAAAACAGAAATGCAACATCATATTGTATACCATAAAATTATTAAAATGAATAAAATTAAAATGAATATACCTACCTCCTAGTTTCATTTGACCTGCTATTTCTTTCCATAATTTCTTGTTTAACTCTCTGTTGTGATACTGTTTGCTTTTTTGATCCCATAGGGATCTTCGTTCGTGCACCAAAGCTATTAGTATTTCGCAATCCATGTTCTCAATTCAATTAAAACACAACAAAACGCAAGCTAGTCGTACGAACAACTATGAAAAAACAAAATATTTTGGTCGTATTTAAAACACGTACGAATTCGTACAAATTCTTAACAAATGATCGTAAGCAATATAACCACAAACATGCCAATATACTCATTTCTTTACTTCCGACGATTTCTTACGAATTCGTACGAACAAATTTTCGTACGAATTCTTATCCAATGTAACCGCCGCCTTACGAAAGAGTAGTGCAAGGAGCTGCCAAACATTCTAAAATAGAGTAAGTAACGCCCAAAACTTTATTCCTCATGTTTAGGGTTATATGTGATTTTTTAGGGATTAAAAAAATTCCCAGTTTCCTCACAAGCTGCAAAAAAACATTGCAAATTTCTTTACTGGCGAACGCGAAGAAACGTAGGAGTAAAGTGGGTGAATATGCCGCGCTGGGTAATACGCCGCAGTTTGTTATTTTCCTTCTAAGCTTACATATGGCAACAGTGTTCATGTTAACACATTAGTGTGAGGTACCAACCATTCCAAAATTCATCAGAATTCAAATTAATTAAATCGTCAGTGAAAATCATCAGTGTAAAGGTAAGGACCGTTTAAAATAAATTCTTAAGTCCAGTTATACGTAGTTATAAAATCAGTTCTAAGTGTTTGTAACCCAATTGTAATAAGAGCATGCGAAAATACGATTCCTAACCTAACTCTTTTTGGCGGAACAACCCGTTAAACGTATCTAAAAGCGTTGTTGCGAATTTTCAAAGTAAGAAGGTGAATGTGGGGAAATATGCGTCATCGTTTTTAACTGCGGCACATTACCCCGAGAGGTTGAAAATATTTTTGTTTTATTTCAGTAACAATCAAAATGCCACGAAATTACGTTCGTAAAAATGTGAGGGCGTTATGGTCCGAAGAAGATCTTCGCAATGCTATTGAAGACCTTAGAAATGGTAGAGGGTCAGTTCGCGAGGTTAGTCGTACGTACAATGTTCCTGCCCGTACTTTGATGAGAAGGATGAGCTCTGGAAACCTCAGTAAAGAAAAATTAGGCCGCAAATGTTGTTTGACTTTAGTTCATGAAGCTAGTTTAGTAAAATACATTCAAAACATGGAAAAACATGGCTTTGCCATAACATCGGTTGACGTAAAGAAGCTTGCATTTTCATTTGCAACTAAAAATAATATTCCCCACAATTTTAATATTGATAAAAAACAAGCTGGCCATGACTGGTTTGTTTCATTTATGCAAAGACATCCAGAATTGTCAATTCGAAAAGCGCAAGGAATGTCTATAGCTCGAGCTCAAGGCATGAATAAAGACGAATGCGGACGATACTTTGATCTTTTGGGGAAAATATTAACAGAAAATGATTTAGTAAACACTCCGCGAAAAATATTTAATATTGATGAGTCGGGGCTACAACTAAACAATAACCCGGGGAAAGTTGTTGCCACTAAAGGCGCCAAAACTGTAAACTGTGTCACGAGTGGTGAGAAAGGTGAAACAGTATCAGTTATAGCATGTGTAAATGCAGAAGGTCATTTCCTTCCTCCAGTTTGTATTTTTAAAGGTAAGAAAAAAAAACCAGAATTTGAAGATGGCTTGCCTCCTGGGGGTAAAGTTATCATGAATGAAAAGTCGGCCTATGTAACGACAGACATTTTTAAAACATGGCTTCAAAACCACTTTATTGCAAGAAAGGAGCCAGGTAAAGTACTTCTCATTCTGGATGGCCACTCCTCGCATTGTTCCGATGTAGAGTTGTTAGATTTAGCTTCAAGTAACGATGTTATAATGTTGTGCTTACCAAGCCATACGACCCATTGGTTGCAGCCTCTAGATAGATCCTTTTTTAAGCCTCTAAAGACCTATTGGTCACAAGCATGTAACACCTGGATACATAATCATCCAGGTCGCAAATTAACTAGACTCCAGTTTCCCACACTCTTAAATACCGCATGGGGAAAGGCGGCGACAGTTCAAAACGGAATTTCGGGTTTTAGAACATGTGGTATCTATCCGCTTAATGCTACCATAATTCCAGATCATGCATTTATTCAGCAAAATCCTGATCCAATTCCTAATAACGAAAATTTAGAAGAAAACGTTAATGTTGTCATTCCTAATGATGCCGACAATAATAACATTGCCCCCAATGATGATCCAAACAACGGGGTCAATATTTTGGATGATG